CCAAGGAAGGAAGCCGCAAGGAAATGCAAGGGACAGGAAACGTCTCTGGGGAAAGAAAAGGTAATTTGTCGGGAGCTTGCCAGCTCACATAAAGGGAGGGGAGGAGGTCCCACCGAGTAATAAGCCTTATAATATGGGAGAGTGTCGAGATATCCACCATAATGGTCTACTGTAATCAACAACCGTGGTTTCCCATCCATTGGGGATAGGAGAGGTAAACGAGAAGAGCAAAAGGTCTAGACAGAGATATCGCGGAGTATCTTCTGAGCAAGAGAGAAAGTGATTTGCTCAAGGTTTGCCAACTCATGGAACAGAGATCCACCGTTGATGAGCCCCATGATCTAGGTTTATGAAGGAGAGAGAGCCCAAGGTAAGTACGGATACCTCTTTCCGACCTTGAGCCAACAAAAATGCCCTCCGAGGAGAAAGGAGGACAGACTCGTTGCCGAAGGACTTGCCAACTCGCCTGATGACGAGGAGAAATATCCACCAAAATGGACTTCCGCAACCGCCATCAATGAAGTCCCACCCGATGAAGATGAAGCCCATCTATCTCTGGCAGGCAAGCACGCAAAACGGCGAAAAAAGCGACACGGGTAAACCGAGAACCTCTTCCATTTGCCAGTTCGTATGCCTCAACGAAGGAGAAGATATCCACAGTCCGCCCGCCTCACTATCATGTCCGACGAAGCGTAGCTCTCACGACCGCACCGCACTGCAGCCCATTAATCACAAGTTCCCCCTGATTTAATAGGCGAGAGCCCACTGCGGGTACCAGTTCCCAAGCGCTCAAGAAGCTAGAGACAGGACAATGGTCTTCAGAATCACTGACCAGACACCCAGCAGCCTTGACGTCCGAGAAAGATATCTGTATATCATCGTGCTCAGAATCTGCCGTCAACCATAAGGTGAATATCCACCAGTTAGTGAGGCAAACCCTCAGGGTTCGCGCCAGGCAGGTGCGAGGCTCAACTGAGCTGGGGGGCATCCTCCCTTCAGAGACGAAAAAAGGGATCCAAACTGGGATGCCGTTGAAGCAACCAGTCAACCACCACCCCCAAATGCAACAACCTCGCACAAAGCAGATCTAATGTCTCAACCTCAAACCCCATCTCACTCAAACCTTCAGCACTGCATCCTGTCCGCATGAAACTAACAGCCCCCATGCCTGGTCTCATCATCCCTGAGCAACAACATACACACCACTTGAACACAGACAAACCATGTCTTTCCTCAGCTGAACAAGCAACCGCC